CACCAGTCACAACAGATATAACACAAGTAGACAGACTGATTCAAAACTAAATGTGTTTACACCTATGTGATCTCCACAGGTCTACATGTATGTGGCGTGGAATGGATGGGTCATCCCCATGTTCCTGTTCCTCGCCATTCTCCGCCTGTCCTTGAATTACCTCATTGCCAAGTTAGTGTAACCTTTGCTCTCTCTAAGTTAGTCACACCACTTTTATCAGAACCAGAGAAAAGGCAACAGTTTTAAACCAGGTCAAGGTTCAGTACCAAGTCAGTGTAGGTAAGGTTTATCAGGAATACTTGTTCCCTTGTCTGTGGTGTTTTTGTTTTTTTAACTTGTTGGACAAATATGTTATTTACTTTTAGAGTTACTAAAAAAATGGCTTCAGTAGATTCTTCAATTTAAGACGCATGTAGTCGTGCCGTGGCAAATCTAGTGCAAATTCAGTAGTTAGCATCTTTTTACATACTTTTTTTTCTTATCTTATCAGTGTATTCATATGTCAGGGTCATGAATTATGTGTTAAGTGAACAGTTGGCTCTTAAAGTCAACAGACTGACCATTGTAAGAATCTGAAATCGTTAAAGTGCCAGTCGCTTGATGATCAGATGACTGGATCAGAGCTGTTCAATATGAGCAAAAGTTTACTGCAGAATTTTGTTGAATATCTGATTACAGTGGTCCGATGAGGGACCCTTAAATGTGTCTTGATACAACAAGACACATTTAAGGGCATACAAGGCAATGAAGTTCATTATATTTATTATATAGCTCATATTTTCTCATGATTCCTGCTCTTAGAGGCTGGAGGATCCAGTGGAGCATTGTACCTGAAGTTTCAGAGCCAGTGGTGAGAAATCTCTCTTTATTCTGGCCTCCTCATATTCATTACTAAATATTTTATTATGAAATGACTCGCATAAAACTGTCCTGATGTCCCAAATGGAAACTGTTAAGTTCTTTAAAACAGATATTCAGGATTCTCATTTTGTTTTTTCAGGAGCCTCCTAAGGAAGACCTGACTGTGTCTGAGAAGTTCCAGCTGGTCCTGGATGTCGCTCAGAAAGCTCAGGTGAAATGTGATGGACAGTGAGAGGTCTAAGGTCACAAGTGGTTCTTTTTGACATATTTAATTATTATTGTTATGTCCTTACAGAATCTGTTTGGAAGGATGGCCAACATCCTGGAGAAAATAAAGAAGTAAGCTTTTCTACACACAGTTTCATGTTTCAGCTCAGAAAGAACCGGTGATCCATTTACAATGCTTCTTTATAATGTGTGTGTGTGTGTGTGTGTGTGTGTGTGTGTGTGTGTGTGTGTGTGTG